GACGTGGAAGATAACAATGATTAAACGTTAAAGAAAGTTTGTACTATGTAGAAGATGGAACCTCTTAAATTAATTAAAAGTGAAATTTTGCGAAATTGGTAAAAGCAAAATATACAGAGCGAGGGGTAGAATCATAACAAAGAGGAGAGGAGAGAAGGAGGTGGAGGAGGAGAGAGGAGGAAGAAGAGAATTCCTTCTACGTCTCCTTTCTCTCTCTTTTAGGACCTTGTTCCTTTCTCTCTCTTCCTTCTTTGCTTCTATTGGCACAGGAGTAAAGAGAGGAGAAAGAAATCCGTCCACAATTTATCAGCAAAAGTTTCTGTTTGTTCCTTGTTATAGAATTGTTTCTGTTTACGTCTCTGGTGGATTTGGAGTGCTATTTCTGTCGTTATTGTTGCTGGCTTTTTGGAAGGTAAAGATGATGGTGGCGAACAGCTTTGATTTGTGGCAGAAGGACGCTTTCTTCTCCGCCGCAGAGGAGGTTCAAGAATCTGCAGATATGTATGTTTTCCCCCCTTCTACTTTTCATCGAAGTAAGAATAGATTGTACGGTGTTGGGATTCTGGCGTTTGGAATTCATGTGTTTGATTCCCTGCAAGAATTCTCGGATGTCTATGTTAAAATTCTTCACTTAACTTATTTTTTAAAAAAAATTCTTCACTTAACAGTTTTTTTTTTCATTATGAGGGTACAGCTTCTTTTAGGTGTTATAATGATTATACTTTATATAATTAATTTCAGGTTACATTATTTTTAGTGTATTGATTTCTAGGTTCGTTGTAAGTTATTTTTGTCGTTGGAATTTGATAACTTTTTCTAAAGGATTTTTCTTACTAACTGTTGCTGAGAAATTTGAAGCAAGTTTAGAAACTCATGTTGAATTTTTTGTTTGTTTTTCATTTTTTTTCCTAATGCTATTCGCAAGATAAAGAGAGGACCGTCCTGTTTGTTGGGAATTTTTTGTCGCAGAAGTGTTTAGATTGCAACTTTGTCGAAATTCTCATATGGTCTAAAAATTTATTATAACCAAATATTTATTTTCTTCTGCTGCCACTCTTTTTTATCTGAGGGCTCCATAAAAGCTGATGGCTTTGAATAATATACGTATTTTCTCTCTTCCTTGTTCTTGTCTTTCAGAATGGAATCAGCATACCGCTTGTGGATTAGAGAGAAGGGAGAAGGGCGAGCTCAAGAGGATTTGGATGAGCTTTTCAGGGAGCTGCAGGCTGCTTTAGGTACTGCAAAGTGGCAGGTGACTGGACTTATTTCCTTCTAATTTTGGCTTTCAAACCTCGGTTCTTCTTGTAAATATATCAACTTAGATCTTAGCTAGAGAAACTTGTGGAAGTCAAAGGAATCTACAGTAGTATGGAAACACAAATCTCAGTTAAACTGTTTCCATAAAAATGTAGATTTCAGGCTTCCTAGGTTGTAGTTCATTAAGATCAAATTCTACCTTGTTTGTTTTTCTTACATGCTCTTACTGAGAGAGGTAGAGGCCTATTTTAAGTTTTGAGTTTTACCTGTGACTGGTGCTCTATGAAAATAGTATATTGAAAGTTTTCAATATGAATGTTGAAACAGTTGGAAGAGTTTGAGAGGGCTGTCAGGTTGAGCCGTGGGCATCGCTTCGACGAAATTACTGCAACTAGACACAGACAATTTGTTGCTGCCATTGAAAATCAAATTTCTCGAGTGGAAGCTGCCTTAAGGGAAACTTTTAGTGAGGAAGGAAAGCAACCCCTTCGTTGGGTAAATCTGGATGAAGAAGAATGCAATGATCTAGCAATATTTCTCTCTGGAACTTCTCAAACATCAATGAGTGTGAGAGATGATTGCATCAAGTCCAGACCTGTGAAAACCTCCCTTGTGGAAAATCGTCATAGAAGAAATGGAGCAGACCTTAATGCTAATTCAAGCTGCAGCACAGATACTTCTGATGAAAAGAAAAGTTTGGAAGATGTTAGGAGAAAGGATGCTGACTGTGTTATAGAAGTAGAAGAGAAGGTAACTCCAAGGAGGGACGATTTAAAATGTCAGCCAGACAGAGCAACATGGAGTTCACCTAATTTCAGTGCTTTAAGGATCGCAGTTGCAGATGAAGATGAAGAGAGGAATAAATTAATGACAGGTGTTGAAGCTACACCTAAAGAAAAAAGATCCAAACCATTCTTTTGGATGCAAAGGTCTCAGGAACATTATCAAGTGAAGAGAGCAGTTAATTTGTTCAATCAGGTCAGGTGATTACAGCATCGTTTGTATATTTTATGATGTGCAATTGTGTAGAAGCGTGCAAACATATTGGAATAACTAACTCGTGCACCAGTTTTTAAAACTGTTTCTATACTCATGGCAGTGAAGGAAAATCATAATGTTTATGATTTATTCATCCTTTCTGCTCTGTTTATGGTTATGAAGGAATCTGTCACTTTTGCGAGGCAGATCTCTATGTTTTGATTCTTAAAAATGATAATGTGAATATAAGGTTGTCTCACAGATTTGATGTGTGTTGCAGCTCTTTGGTAGGGTTGGTAGAATTCAAAGACCATTCCAAAGTCCTCAAATGCAATTTAGCTGTTCTGTTCAACTGACACTGGCCTTGATGCTAACTATTTTTCTAATTGGTAAGTAACGTCTCTCTGAATGCAAGTGCTCTGAAATTCTGTTCAAGTTTTTTAAAATGATCAAGTTCTTTAAAATGGAGCTTTCATGCAAAAAAAGGTTTTCTTTTCCTTTTCTAATACAAAAAATCTCCTGTGCATGCGTAAAATAAGTGTCTAGAACTGATACTCCAAGATGTTTAGGACAAGGTAAATGCTTTAAAAACTTATCTCTGTAAATGACTGACTCAATAACCAGACATCACTATTGGTTGGGTAAAAGTTCATCAGAGTTAGGGAAATGAAATTGAAAAAAGACCAGCCTTTTAAGCTCCACTCATGGACCATAAACTAATTGAATTCTCAGTTGTTCTCATGCCACATTGCAATCAATTTCAGAGAATTCATGTAAGGGTCTTCATTTACTAGCAAGTTAAGAGTAGTTTCTACCTTGACATTCAGTTATTTCTGGACATGGAAGAAATGACCTTTAAATTGTTAAAAATATTCTAATGGAAGTGAAACCTTTAGAAATCCTGTAGGTGCTTATGAATTTGCTTTTGTAAATTGCTGATTAATGAAGATTCATTCTTCTATTCTTGCAGTGCCCTTTGTGCTTTTCTCAACTTGAACTGTGTGATGGGTTGCAGCTCCTTTTCAAGATGAGGTAATTCTTTTGTTCCAAATGGAAAAGTAATAAAAAAAAAACATTTTATGTACCACATAAATTAAATTTGGAATGGTCATGCAGAGAGAATTTGGATTTTTGAATACATGCCCAGCATTTGAGATGTCACTTATATAATGATCGCAAGTAGTTTTTTCAATCATATGTTCTATACATTCAAAATCTGGAATTTGGGGAACCATGATTCAGGTGCAAATTGCTGTTAATTGCAGAAGAATTTGTATATGATTTAATGACTCATACTATTCTATTGTGCCACCATGGGCTAGAATGTGATAATCAACATTGGTGAACAATTATGAGCAACCGTTGAAAGTTTAGTTTTAGACAAAAATAATGTTTTAGCTTGACGAAACCAATTTTATCTTTCAAGTTATCCTAGTTCATTGTATTCATTTATATCCATGGAAATGATCCAGGTACCCTTTTATTAGTACACAAGAAAAGTAACCCTGCAAGAAAATGCAGGAACACATAACTGAACTAGGATGATCCTTAACTTTTCAATCTCTTCTCATTGCAGGCATCCCAAATTGTAAACAAGAAAAGCCTTTCTATATTGCTAATTCTTACAGTTCCAAACACCCGTGTCATTTTCATGGCTTAGGAGTTACGAGCTGGCTCAACTTTCTCTCATCGACACGGTTAAACTCTAGCAACAGAGATAGGCTTTCAGTACAGAATTTTCTTGCCTTACAAAATGTATATCCCTTTGTTATATACCCTTTAGAGGAGGGTATCTTCTGATGTGGTAGTGCAGAGAAATGTCTGTAGAAAAAACATGGCACTGCGACATTACAGAAATATTATCAGTTATTGCACGATCCAGATCAAATCTCTGGCGTTTGCGTGTTCTGCCCTCTCATATGCTTGATATCTCAATCGTTTATGTGAAATTTTCATTGCTTGGGTTAAGATATTTTCATCAATGCTTTAAAAAGAAGAAGAAGAAGAGGATTCATACCAGACAGGAGAAGAATGAATTGAAAATTAGAGATCTAAAATTAATTTCTTAACCCATATCGTAGAAGAAGTAAATTGAGTTGTGAACAGTTTGGTCAGTACCTTACCATACTCATCTAGTATACAAGTGAAATTTGTAGTGAATCAAATAGTCGTTGATATATTAGCCAAAACTGGTACTGTTGGTGCTAACTATAAATTTTGTAAAATTTTTTACTTAAAAATTAAACTTTAAAAATTTTACTTTTACGTTTAAAAAAAAAAAAAAAACTTAGTATTTATTATAATATTATTATTTTTTTACTTTTAATTATAAATTTAATTTATGTGATGTATTTGTAAATTAAATATTTAAGTATACGATATCTATTTTTAGAAAAATGGGTTACTTATACTTAACATTAATTAAAATTTGATTATTTTTTATAAAAATTCACAATATTATTATCTTTATTATGTATATTCAAAAAGTAAAATAACATTTTTGGGCATACGGAAAATTGGCATTAAACAAAAATTTACATTCAATTGAATATTTTACATTCGAAAACAAGATATTACAATACATCATTAACTAAATACAGATTTTGAGTAAATTTTCAGTTTAAAAAAAGAAAATCATTTCACTAAAATATTGCTTTTCTTGCGCAAAATATCTCTGGATGATCCAGAAAAAAATTTTTAAAAAATCAAATATATATAAACTATAACCAAAATTTATAATTTTAATACTATTAATTATACTAAAATTTAAGCTATAATATATATTAATTAACTCTATTATTATCATAGTTAAATCAGATATTCTTCTTCACAGTTTTGATAACTAAGGTGGCAAAATGAGCTTCATATCTAAACCCAATCAGCTGCCCAACCTCAATCCCTTTTTTCTCATGCAACTCAGTTGTGTCTCGCAGACAATAAAAACGGTTCTCAAGCTGCAATTTCAGCTTAAAACTTTCCTTTGTATCTTCGTCATACACAACCATGTCAATGGCTTCCCCATTCTTCAAATCAGTTCCATCTTTCTGCTTCAACCCCGGAAGAATATATATATCCACTTCATCCATCAAGAACACAATCTCTTTCTTGTTCTTCAAATCGCACTCCGACATGATTTTCTCAAATTGCCAATCCTCGTTTCCAAACATTGATTCCATTATCTTGTCGCTTGCTTCCTCCATCATTGATTCCTCGTTCTCCAACTTGATAGCATTCATCACGAGATCTTAAATAAAATTTAAAAAGATCGATATATAAATAAATAACTGAAATAATTTAAAAAAAAAACTTTATAAATAAAACGATACTTAAAAGTTACTTACAGAAATCGATTTTCTCGCAATAAAATTGTCCAAGATTTTTTCGTTTAGATTTGGACAGAATTTAATATTTCATCTCTGAAATAAAATTTTTTGTAAGATCAATCTGGGTACTGCTTTTCTTTTTTTTTTTTTTTTTTTGTCTTTCTAGACCTACATGGATGTGTATATATATTGGTATGAACAATACATGTATTTATTAAATTTGCTTACATTTGTAAACATTTGAGGATTTGTTCAATCAAAGAGATTTTATGATTTGTATTATTATGTTTATACAAGGTAAGAAATCACTAGTCATTAATCAGGGGGATTATAGCAACTACATGTATACCTTTTATGATTTGTATTGACTATTAAGCCAGAATCTTAAGTAATTTGATTAAAATATTAAACTTTTAAGTTAGTATTGTGTTACATAATTGAGGATACCCAAACTCTCTCAAGATTTTCTTGCAATATTTTGATTTAGTCCCTAACCATTACATTATTAGTAAACATATTACATATACTTTGTTAGACACTTGTCTCATTCTTATTGGGTTAATCAACATTTGGAATTCATATTAGAGAAAAAAATATTTCTTTTGTTGGATAAAAGAAAATTGTAGGAAGAAAACTTTTTCTTGTTTGCTTTAAAATGCCAAATAAAATAGGGTTTTTATAGGTACAAAAAATAAAGATATTATAAAATATAATTAAATTGTACTAAAGAATGTTAATTTTTAGAAGTTAAAATATATCAACTTTTTGAAAATATTATGTGCATATTTAATAATTAATTTTTTTTAAAAAAAAATTTCTTCTCTTTAATGCGAATTTTGTTGCTTATTCAGAAACTAATTTATAAACTTGCTTTGGCAATTAAAAAGCATATTATCAAACATTAAAATTCTAAAGCCAATATTGCGGATTCTTGGAATAGGAAGTAAAAATAGGATCCTAATTCCAAATAAATTCCATGTTTAATTCAAATTCCCCACGTAATAAATGAGAATACAAATATATCATTTACTCTGTAATTAAAGATAAAAAGTAAAGCTTATTCAACTACCCGTTAAAAATGGAAAATTAAAACTAAGTCGAATAATTTAATTTCGGAATTGGATAGAAATATAATTTGCGCATACAACATAAAACTTTAGCAATTATGGAGTGAATACCAAGCCTAAATATATAATTCCAATCCTGCAATTATCTCTTTTTCATCTGAGAAATTAAAATCGAAGTTTGACTTTCAAGAGGCACAAAAGTTTGAAAGAATCAACACTAATAGAAATGAACTCGGGCAATCTATTGATGTAATTTTTTTTCATCTTCAAAGCATCTAACAAGTTACAGGATGAAAGAGAATTACTGAACAGAATAATCTGTAAGGCCATCATTGCAAGTACAGACACAAAAACTGGGGAATTGAGAAGAGAGATTGAGAGAACCTATGAACACTGCTCTTCTTTCCTCAACTGCCCACATAAATAAGACAAAATCGAGGAGTCCCACTTTCCTTCAGATGATCCTTCAATACATAAAGCTTTTTTCATATAATATCATCGTCTACAACAGAAAATTACTGTCTCTCAACGCCAAAAACTCCTTCTCTAGTGATCATAAATTCACAAGATGAGTCTGGTAAATGAGGGGCAAAAACAACATGCAGCTGCTCTGGTAATCTACTCAACAAAACACAGCCATTTTCATCAACTTTTCCATTCTTATCACCAATGATTTCCTCATGCCTAGACAAGAACAACCTGGAATTCACACAGTTGGCCCAAGCTAAACCCAGTGCAGGAGTAACCCGTCTCCCTGATGAACACAAAGTTCCCAAATTTCCCAACCTCAACCCATTTATCCCTTCATTTGGTGCCACTAAATCAACCACCTGGTTCGTCACAACAACAGCCATATCAAATCTCTTTGCCAACTCCTTCAGTTTTCCAGATATCTTGAAAAACAATGAAGACCTCTTCTTGAGATCACAAAAAGTGTTATCGAATTCGGATCTGAATACAGCGGCAATAGAATCAATGACAATGAGCCTTACAGGCATTCTGTTTTCTGAATTCTTGACGAAAAACTCTATCTTCGACATTTCATCGAGCAGCTGATCTGCAGAATGCACGGCCTGCACGTAAACAAAATCACACGGGCTGCCATTGTTATTTGCATAGAGATGAGGATTTAAAGACCGAAATGGTTCGCAAAGTTGGTAAAGACGGCGAAATGGAAATGGGAATTCAGTGTGGAGATAGAGAGATGAAGCGGCGAGACCGCCACGAGAGACAGGAAGTTGTGCGTGGAGGCAGAGTTGGAGGCAGAGCTGAGTCTTGCCGGAACCGCTCTCGGCGACGAACTCAGTGACGGAGTTGCAGGGGATGCCACCGAGGAGACAACGATCAAGGATTGGGCAGCCAAGCGTGCATTTTTGGGTGCTTAATGGGGACTGTAGGAGGTTCTGTGGATTCATACTCTGCCCGTGTTGGGAGACGAGGAAGGATGAAATTTGAAAGGTTAAAATAACAAATTTTAATCTGTATTATTCGAAAATACTTAAAATTATAAAATATTTTGAACTTTATCTATTAATAAAATATATAAATTTTTGAATAAAATTAAATATTTTGAACAAAATTGTATATAATTAGGACTAGACAAGTATAACTACCCAAACTCTCTCACTAACTTAAATTCAATATTATATTTTTTTTTAAAAAAATTTGTTAAAAAATGTGATTTGTATTTTAGAAATGATTTTAAATTTGTATGTAATCTATTAAATTAAGTTGTAATGCCTGTTAAAAAATGCACTGAAATCAATTATAATTTTCTAAATAAATAAAATTACTATAACTAAACTTTAAAAATTACTCAATTTATAATAATTAATGGAAAATTTTTTACCTTACTGTTTTTTTATAAATTATCGTAGAAAGCAGCCCATGAGAAGAAAGAGAAAATACGTATGGAATTTGGAAAAATGGATTGGGTTGGGCTGAGCAATTATCTCGCCCCCAACGACACCGTTTCGACTCAGAACGACGAACACCCACCCACTTCTTGTGTTCGTCAATTTGTCACCCCGCCTACACGAACGCGATCTTCTTCTTCTCGGGTCGCCCCCAGATCTATCTCTTCACTCGAACCAGCAGTATTTTTTGTTTGCAGAAAATATACACTTCTCAGTTCTGACATTTCTTCAATTTCAGATCCCTAATTCTTCTGTCTCATTTCTAGCAAGAAAGCTCCTGAAACTCCTAATTGGAACCCTGGATCACCCCTAACAATCCCGTAAGATCGGACCTCAAGATGTCGTGCCTAGCCCTCTCTCTCCAACCGGCTAATGGCTCCGACATCCTCCTACAAACCCGGGAGTGGTTTCCTCCACCACGAGCCCTCGTCGCCCTCTCCGCCTTCCGCCAAACCCGCCTTGCCTTCGCCGCCACTAAACATCACCACCACCAGCAACAAAAGCAACAATCATCCGCCGCCGCTTCGGATTTTGATTCCGACGCTGCAACGGTGATCGATTCAATCGGAGATGACCCGCTGGCGGCTTCCAGCGGGCAGGTAATTGTGGGCGTGGAGAGTAAATATCGTGTGGTGTACCGACTCGTCAACTCGATCTACGTTCTCGGGATCACTACCGCCGACCAGGATAACTCCGTCAACGTCTTCGAGTGCATCCACATCGTTAACCAGGCTGTGAGCGTGATTATCACAGCCTGCCGAGGCGTCGACGTCACGCCCGAGAAGCTCAGCCGCAAGTACGCCGAGGTCTATATGGCGCTAGACATCGTCCTTCGTGGGGTCAGCAACATCCGCCTGGCTGCCATGCTCGCTTCGATGCACGGTGAGGGAATCGCGAAGATGGTACATTCTGCGCTTGATACCGAGAACAAGATTCGGGGCGCTGACAGCTGGGCCTCCCTGGAGGTGCACTCGGCCGAACACCTGGCGAGCGTTGAGGCATTCTCCAGCGCGCGATTCGAGATGCCGCCGGAGACTATCGCAGCCGGGGATGAGGTTGCCATGAGCTTGGCACCGGTCCTCCAGGCGGAGCAGCCGGATCAGCTGAAGTCGGAGGAGACAGAGGCGGAGAATAAGGATCCGTTTGCTGCGAGTGATGCAGTCAGCAAGGAAGAGGAACTGGTGGGTGGGTTCAAGAAGAACAGGGATCCGTCGGCCACAGACTTGACAGTGGCGCTGGCAGGACTAGAGGTGACGACATTGCCGCCGGCGGAGGCAACTCAATCCACCCATATCAGCGTGGAAGGATTCGAAGGAGAATATGGTGGGATTGAATTCAATAGTGACCAAGCGTCTCTAGGAGAAACTTTTGAGGCATTTAGTGATGCCTGGGGTGGCGGATTGGATCCGTCAGAGTTTATGGGACCGAAGAAGATACCAAAGAAGGAGGGGCTTGGTGGGCTTGAGCTGTTGCAAACTGGAGACAGTGGTGCTGCTGTGGAGGCTAAGGCTGCGGACGGAGCAGGGGGAGGTACCCTTGAGAATCTTTTGGTGAAGAAAACTGAAATGAAGGGTCCTGAGATGTATATTTCCGAGGAGATTAGCGCAGAGTTCAGGGAATCGTTGCTTGCTAGAGTTGGGTTAATGGGTGTGGTTTATCTTAGAACCTTGCCCCCAGCATCTTCTGGCGATAAGGAAACTGAGTTTTCATTTCGAGTTGAGGGTACTAGTGGCGTGAAGAGATTCGTAATGCAGGATTCTCGTGTTAGTAGCCTAGGAAATGGGATGTTTCATGTCAGGACAGCTCCGTCTGAAGAGCCTTTACCGATTTTGAAGTATAGTTTACTGCCTAGATTGACGCCATTGCCTTTGAGAGTTCGTTTAGTAAAACGTCATAGTGGGACTTTACTTTCTGTGATGATACAGTATGTTTCAAATCCAGACTTGCCGGCACCTTTAAATGATGTTACATTCGTTTTGAAATTGCCAGTTGATCCTACATTATTGAAAGTTTCTCCAAAAGCTGTATTAAATAGATCTGACAGAGAATTGAAATGGCATGTCCCTGAGATTCCACTTAAGGGTACTCCTGGAAAGCTGCGGGCAAGGATGCCTGTGGATTCTAATGAAAATGATGGTGGAGAAGAGATGGAGTTTGTTGGTTATGTCAGATTTTCTATACAGGGGGCCACAACGTTGTCTGGTTTATGTCTACGGCCCTGCTTCTGAGGGTAAGACAGACTTTTACGAGGTGAATCACAGGTATGAGAGTGGCGTTTATATGTGCAATTGATTTGTGATTATATGGATAATGATTTACAGATGTGAGATTTTTTTTCAAGGGAGCATGTGGTTTGGTTGCTCTTGTAACATTCTTTGATTTCCAGATTGTAACTTTAGGTCACGAATATTTTGAAAGCTTTGAGTCATCAATATTACTAGCAACTGCTTTTCCTTGATATGTAGTAAATTTTTTTCATTGTTCTGTATCTTTCTTTTCAAATTCATTTTGTTTTTTGTAGTTTACTGGTTGTATTTTAATCTTTTTCTTTTTTGTACTTTTAATCCATCCTAAATTCTAATACATTTCCTTCTTACATTTGATCTTATGACGTTATTTATACCCAAGAAAAGTAACGATTTGCAGTAGGAACTGTCGGCAAGAAAACAAGGCAATGAATGCTGCATTGAATCCATGATATCATGGTCCACACCATTCTTATGTGGGACAAATCATTTTATCCTGTGTGTAGTATGTTAAGTAGGGTGAGATGATTTTTTTCTTATGTGAAAGATTAAAGATTTCCATTTGTTGGGTAAATATTCCCTTGTGCTATAGCTTTTTAGAGATTTGTGGTGTTTTGACATGAAATAACTGTACCGTGGGCATTTATTTGGAAGTGAACCATGATAAGTTATTTATACAGTGGTTCTGGAGCAATACCGTTCCTTCTGCACAAGCCACCAAAGTTTTCTAAACTTCACTTGCATTAGACATTTTGTAGGTCTAGTTACATACATTTATTTTGATGGGGCTCTTGGAAATATCTTGGTAATGCAGAGATTTTTTTGTCTTCTCTGATTTGTCCAAGCAGCAATCTTGAGTTTTAGTGTTCAGTATTGCAGTGTCCAAATGGATTTTCCCAATTATAACTTTTGATATAACATTTTCAGGCACTTTCTACTGGAAAATAGGGACCGGTTCCTTTATTTTCTGAAATTATTCTGACAATTTCTTAGTTTCCTACCTTGTTATTCAATTGTAGTAAATCAAAAAGTTAGCAATTAGGAAGAATTTTTTGGAGAGAGGAGTTGCAATATTTTTATGGCCTTCTCTCTATAGATTAAGCGAATGTATTTATCCTTTGGCTTTATCAATTGTTCTACATTGTGCTTATCCCTTTATATCAAGGAACCAAACGATGTGCTAGCTATTCTCTCTTGAATGTTGTAATTTAGGTTTCGTATACTATAAAGAGGAAGTTTAAATCTCTTTCCGGAGCAATTTAAGAAGCATCATGGTATCAAACTCAATGCTGACATCAATAACAAAAATGTACTCTCTTTCTCCGGTTGATTTTTCACTTCACTTGGTTCTTTGCAATCCTGAGTTTTGGCACCTTTTTTTTCCCTCATACTTGACAATGTTAAGAAGTATTTATTGCCACTGTGATCTTTTATAATCATTAGGAATATCTAGAGTATGTAAGAAATATTTAGTAGTCTGGGAGGTTTTATGTTATTAGGGAAATTCTTTAATTTTTATTGGTCGATATCTTCAAGTCTGGTTTCACCAGTTTTTTATGCGTATAAAATATATTCATTAAAGTAGATCAGTTCAGTCCAGTTTTAACGACTATAGTTTTTGTTCTACATTAGTTTCCTGTTATGGGATCCAATAATGTGAGGTACTTTGTTTTTATACTTAATATCTGACCACAATGGGGTATATCGAGATTCTATAAATAGATGGATGATGCTTTACTGTTATCTGGAATGACTATGATTCTAAAGGAGTACAGATGCATTTCTCGTGGTTGAGTGCTTGATTGTGTTTAAAAGAAAATATATTCCATCATGCTACATCTGGAAAAATTACTTGTTGAATTTGGATTAGCTGGTTTTGTTTATATAAGATAAATGTATTGCTCCTCTCTTGCAGCAGGCTTAGCAGCAGATTAAGCCTTTCCCAGAATTGTGTATCTTATCTGAATTGTTGGCCCAAACCCCAACTCTTTCCCCTCCTCCGCCCCAATATGCCTGTTCCCAGAAAGGAAACTGTGTGCTCGGATGGAATATTTTCTTTGCTTTATCGCAAATACTTTCCCTTGTTTAATCCCTCGCCTTTTGTTGCCTTTTATCTGTTCTCTTCACCTTGAGTTAGTTTATGTTTCTAGCTGTTACATATGTCCTTGTGTTAGCTTTAGATAAAAGAGTTTCTAATGGAATCACAGAGCCTTGAGGCATTTATTGGTTTGAATGCTGATGACAAATTGAAGACAGAGGAAGAAACACTCTATGCATAGACTGTGTAAATTGTTGTAGCCATTTTGAACTTGCAAGTTATGTTGTATTTCGAAACTAGGCATTGTAAGTACTCCTACAAATAAAGGGGGTTCAAATAGATATTAATTGTATTCGGAAGGTTATGAATCGATTGATAAGACGAGTTCCAGTATCTTGATTTCAAGTGGCGCATTTGATTGATATATACATGTACGAAATTACCAATTCAATATAGATTCAAGATATTTCATCAAAGCATACGATGAAGATACTCCGTTTGTTTCCCATCATTTTGGCATGGGATAATACGAAATTCTTCTCTGGTTCTACATGGGATTGACAGTTTCTTCTAACTACATATTTTGGCATTGAATGGCAGATTTTTGTTTCTTGTTTGCATAGCTGCTAGGTATTTTGATGTTTGGTTAAACTTGAAGATTTGATCTTTATATAGTTTCTTTTTTCTTAAAACATATCACTAATTATTATTTGTCACTTTATAAACTAATTCAGCTTATGTTTATGATTAAAACTTGAAATGTTTTAATTAATCTAATAATTTATCAGTTAAACTGCTGTAATTTAATTTTATCCACCCTAGACTTAAAATCAATATGCACTGTAAACTTTAAATTTTTAAAGGAGATTAATAATCGGTTTTTCTCAAAGCTTGTATTTCGGGCATGAAATTAAAATAGAATGACTAAATTACCCTTATAGAAACCAAGGTTTTATAAAGAGTAGATTAAAAATGGAGCTCTAGGGTTTGACACTCGATGGGAAAAATGAGGCTATGGTTAAGTGAGAAGGGGGAGTTTCAGGGAGGGGATTGGCCTTCTTTCTCACACCAGAGCCAATGATTTTCTTCCACCGCAACCCCAATCAACGCCCTCCTCCCTTTCTCCATGCAAACACTGTATAATTCAATTGCTTTTTCTTTTTCTTTTTTTTTTTTTTTCCCTTCTCTCTCTCTCTCTCTCTCTGGTTTTCCTAAATGGAAAAGACGGTACAATCGGGCGATGAAGATGGATCTGTTGACCCGAAGAGTGTCCGTCGGGCAAGGTTCGAAAGTAGTTGTTTCATTGGCGGGGCAACCCGGATGGTCCGTCATGGGCAACCGGATCTCTTGCAGCCATAGCCGACGGCTTTCATCTTTGCTTGATCAAATATCAAATCTGAGCCTTCTACAATCTAAACCCTTAAATTAATTTCACAAGAATAGCAAAACATATTCAGTGTTTCTCAGTTTAACTTAAAATACTTAATTCTAGGAAATTTGTAGTTTTATTCTGTATTTTGGCTTGGTTGTTCTTTTTCTTTTCTCTTGATTGAGTTCCGTCGGGTCTGTTCATGTTTTTTTTTTCTTAATTTGAATTCAAAATTATGTTTTTGAAGTTAGTATTTTGTAATTTTCTAACTTTTTAAATAGTATTTTTTTTTATTTATTTGTGAACATATTTTTATTAAAAAATAAGTAGAAATAACTTTAAATTATTAGTAATGTTAATTGTTATGTTTTTAAAGTTTTCCTTTACAATTTGTTTCGAAACTTTTGAAGTTATAACTAAAAAATAATACAATGTTTAATGAAAATATAATTATTAAAAATTAATTTTATATTTAATAAAATAGTTTTTATTTATTTATTTTTAAAAATTTACAATGTTTCAACTATTTTATATACTAATGGTACGATACTAAATGAATTTTTTTGTTAAAAAGTTATATTTTAAAATAATTTTATAGGCTAATTGTGTTAAATTATAATTAAAAACAAATTTGGATTGAAGTATAATACATTAAATAATTCAAACAAATAAATTATAAACATTAAATTGTTACCAAAACTTAAAATCTACCAAGATTAAGTTACGTCAAATTACACGAGTAAAACCAGATTTTATTCTATTTTTGTCAAGCTCTTTTTGTAATTTACCTATTTAGTCCTATAACAAGACTCAAGGTTTTTTTGGATATGTTTTTTTATTTATTTAAATTTGATGGTGTTAGTATTTTGAAAAATAAAATAAAATTTTAAGAAGTATTTTATAATAAAAATATTTATGATTAAAATAAAATATGTACCAAAATTCATATATTAAAGTAATAATTTATCCTTATTATTATTGTTATACATAAAATATATTTTTTTTAAAATTATTTTTAGTTTTATATTATTGAATTATGATATTTAAATGAGATTGAAATAATTATTGACCACTTGATTGAAATAAATTGTCTAATTTTTTAAAATTTTAATTTAATAGTTAAAAAAATTAACATGTGTAACTAATTAATTGAATAGTGACTTAAAAAATTAAAATTAATAAGAATACAAAGTAACGAAAAATAAAAAACAAAAATTTGCCTGACATATTATGCCCAACGAGGCATATTTTAGTACATAATAGCTTATAATAACATTGGTTAGTGATTAGTAAATAAAATTCAAAAAATTAATAAGTCAATTACACTAAATTTATTCAATACGTGGTGATTTCAACTTTATTTTGTTTGTTTTTTTATTTATTATAACATAAAATATTAATATGACTTAATTTATTAATTTGTGAATAAAGTTTTAATAATAATTTTAAATTAAACTTTAACAAATATATTATATTTTTTATAAAAATAATATTTTATATCAATTTAAAATAATTATAATGAATTAAAAAATTAATATAATTTTTTTTTTTATATAAATAATATAGAAGAGTGAAATCCAAGTATTATCTACAAAATCTTCACGCCCATTTTTATGGATGGAAGCCTCAATTATTATGAAAAGCTTCTTCTTCTGTAAAAAAAAAAAAAAAGCTAAGAGGTGTTATCTTGTCGTGTTCGTTATAGTTAACAAATTTAAAAAATAAAAATTACATACATTTTTAATTAATTATAATTATTTGTGTATACACACTAATCTAACTATTATTATATCAATTAAATAGATGTTATCAATTTATTATTAATAATAATCACATTATTAGCATATATTTTTTTTATGTTAATTAATGTATCGCTATGGCATTATTATCATTAATTTTCATATTTTTTATTAAATATATAGTTTTAAAAAATTCGTAATAGTGTATTTATTTTGTCTGTGTAATTATCTGTGATTGTATGGTCCTATCAGCCGGCATTATCATTATTGACAACATAATGTTGGTGCTACTCACTATGACTTTGCTTCACAAATTAACTAAAATGTATTTATTTCACATCCCACATATATGCGTATAAAGTTGATAAAACTAAATTTCTCATTATACCTCTCTTCATTATGCTTCCACATGAAGCTTAAATTTCACATGTCACAAACATATATGTGTATGTATGTATCTACATATATATATATATATATGTGTGTGTGTAGCATGGAGGTCGACAAGCCGAGTGAAAGAGTTGGTGAAAGAAAGTCCTCACGCCAGCCATTCTATCTATAAAGTCTCAAGTCCGGTCATGAATAATAATTACTTATTTAATGCTTTTGACCCTTTCTTTAAATTTAGTTTATTATTTTCCACGTTAAATTTACTAATCATCATTTAATTCACTTTACATAGAGTTCTACCTTACCTTCGTTGATTTTAAATTAACACTCAATATTCTAAACTTAAATAATTTAAAATTACTAACCACCTACGTACCACGACGAACTAACTCAATCTCACTCACTTCATCTCTCTCTCTCTCTCTCTATATATATATATATATACCAACTAAAAATTACCTGGATTCATGTTTATTTACAGGGTCAAGTTAAAGCCTGCTGTTAGATTAAACTTTAGGTTAACAGCGCAATTAACCTTAGGTTAAACTTTCAATTTAATTTTAGTTGGTAGGATGACGTGACCCAAAAAAAAAAAGTCGTACGTTGTTGTAATTAATACCTTCATAGTACGACGTCGTTCCCTAGAAAGAACTCGTCTATTATAGATAAGGCTTGTTATGCAATTAAAGTTGGTCAACAACGCAACTTTGATTTTAATTATATGTCCTCATCACGGACTAATATTGCAAAATATATTTTAGACATGATAAAACATATATATATATATATATATATATATATATCATACGATGTGGTTTGCATGCAATACAGTCACTCATACTACTCTCGCTGATATACTATATTAAAACTGATTAATTAATTAATTAATTAATTAATAATAATAATTTATAAGTAAGAATTCAAAGATTCAAATAAGAAATAAAATCCACAAACCGATATTTCCTAAATTAAAAAACACGTATGATAACAATCGAACAATAATAATAATATAATAAATATAAAGTGATCGTAATCTAATGGGTCACTCTCGAGAGTCTCGTGATTATCATTCATTTCTCTCTGTGCACCTAAGAAAACAACAAAAAAACAAATAGTAGTTTGTTCTCCGGTTATAATTTCAGACGACCATTTTCATCCATGGTCCGCCACTGTACTCAATACCTCCCTTCCACGGTAGGTTTTGTGGTCATGATTTATGGTAATAATTTTTGGACATTCAACGTTGAAACCAATATCGGCTTTTGTGAAAATACGAAAATGTCCTTCGTATTGCGAACGAATTCTCAAACAGATGAAGAGATGGGCGTGACCAAACACGGGAAAGGTTCTATAGCTTACGCGCGCGGCATGATAAACGACGCCATAGCAGTGACACTGGCATGGTCTTTGCAGCTCAGTGCCTTGAGGAACTTCCAGGACCCCTTATTCGTGCTTCGGTTAACCGGAAAATTCCCCCCAGACTCTATTGGCGGAAACATCGCCGATGGGTTCCGGCGAAACTGGCGGTTCTTGATGTCTCTCAGCTCCATCTCCGGCGGAAACTTCGCCATTCCAAACATGAAAAAATACCACCTTGGTTTAACCGTCTTTTTAGCCGACGTATCGTAGGACTTCCCTGCACTCTTTCCCGAAAAATTCAGCTCGATATCGGATTCGGGAGAGTACATATTCCTGCTCGAAAATCGGTGAAGCTTCCGGTAATCGAGAGAACGGCTGTTTCTCATGAGCTTAGTCCTGATGCTGCTCGAACGAGTCATGTAGCTACTCTGCAACTCCGACAGAGACTCTGATCGTCGGCGAAGCCCAGTGTTCCCTTTCTTGTAATATTCGGTTGCGGGGAGAATATTCTGATCGGTATGTTGAGAAGATGGCGCGTTTTGGTCTTTGAAAGGCACGAGCTTGCCGCAGAAGATGATTTCTTCAGCTGGGCACATATCGTGATCTGAGTTGAGATTACTGAGAAACTCGAAGAACTCCGGCTCGGTCACCGCCGATGATCGTCCAGTATTGACGTTGGGTTTGTTCTGGGAGTCATCGTCGTTGGCATGGAGAGGAAGGTCGCGCAGAGAGAGCGCCTCTTCTGCGAGTTCTTCTGGGTCGTCATGAAGATCAACGCTTTCTCCCATTTTTTTTGGCAGATAGTGATAGAGAAAAAGAAATACAAGTGAAGAAGAAGAAGTGAAGAGAAATCTGTTTTTTGTTTCGACAGGGAACAACTCCAATGATATATATACACACACATATACAGATATAAAGAAACTGACAGAGAAGATGCCAAAGTGGTCTTTTTTTTTTCTTTGCTTTATTTCTTAAGCAATACTTTATATTAATGGTTGTTTTACTTTTAGCTAGCTTCAGACAACACATACATTCGTAATATATATATATATATATGTGCTTCATCTGTCATTTTGAAAAGTATATATGTGTGTATACGTAATTAACACATGCATGAGAGAGAGAGAGAGAGAGAGAGAGGTTTTAATATATTTTAATTTAATTAATTTGTTTTTTGAATTTTCTTGTTGGATAGCTGTATGTGAAAGCATTAAAAATAAAATTCGAAAAATTTTCATTTCCCAATACTTCTAGAAAGCAGAAGACGACTGGGCTCAACACGTCGACAAACATTAGGATATATATATTTTTTCTTAGTTTACGTAAAATTCTTAATTTTAAAAATATTTATATTGCATAAATTTTTAAATAAAATTAAAATGTGAAAATAATTGCGAACAAATCCCTGATACCTTCTGGGCCTGGTTTGGATTTTCTTCTGTCAAATCGGCGGTCAAATTAAGGTTCATTTCTCGGCTTGTTACGGTAAGAGGATGTTTTGGGCTGGACAAATAAATTTTAGTACTGACAGATGAATAATATAATCTCATATTAGTCTTCCAGACTACTAACCAATGAGGGCTTGACACGTGTGTACCGTCGAAGATTACTAAACAAGGACAAATAAATTTTAGTATTATTGTAATCCAACGTCATTTTAACAAAGATTCCTAAAACCATAATATAGTCTTGCATTTCAGTGACAACATGTAACGGCCCACGGTAATTCAAAATAAAATGTATATTAAAAATATCAAATACAGAAGCGAAGTCAAAATTTGAATAACATCCCTTACACTAAAACAAAAAACGTGCTCACAAAATATAAAAAATCAAACTATCTAAAGGAGAAACTTGAAAGTAAAAGTTACGAATATGACTATGGAGTCTTTAGGAGTCCCCTTCGTCGTCGTCCTGCGGAACCGGCTCGGGAACGATGTCCTCTTGATCTGAAATGATTAAATAAGGAATGAACTACACTAGCCCAGTAAAGACATCACGATATCTCACCGTCACGGAGGTAAAGGTGGGTAGAAAACACCAAAAAGACCAATGGAGCATAATTTACAACAAATCTTTTTATTAATAATAAAACCTTTACTTACCTCGGTGAAATTCATAAAACAATATACGAAAGCAATAGCATCATCATCATCATGAAACCATATACATAAACTGTATAACATAATACCTATCAAGCTTTTCGTAATTCAATTGTTACACAACATATTTTCCTCATTTACCAGCCCACTAGTATCCATGGGGATCCATAGGGGTCCCGCTACCCGTTAACCCTTAACACTTGAAATCATTTTTCCAGGGCCGTCCCCATACCCCGTCCGGTATGGGCGCCAAAACTATAAACCTCATTACCCCGTCCGGTATGAGGGTGAAACGGGCCGTCCCCATACCCCGTCCGGTATGGGTGCAAAAACACATAAGATCTCCATACCCCGTCCGGTATGGGAGACCACAATCCCGGTAGGGTTCCCTACGGACCCGGTCCGTCCACCATCTTCCAAGATATCTAATCAGGCTGACCACATTATACAATTTACCCATTTACATAATCTTTCATTCTCCTTTCCCTCAGTCAGCATTATCAATCCACATACAAACAAGCGAAACGGTAATTTATGCCAAACAGATAACATACAGCATCAATATCCCGGTCATTCAATCCATAATCAATAAAACAGTAAAATATGCACACGAAACTATAAAATGAAAATATCGAACCTCATGCTGCATTTAAAACTGTAAAACAGGCCAAATAACAGTTAACCGACAAACACACTAGACTCGGGCTCCATTAGCGACCTTAAGCAATTTCACACATTCGTTGATTCATGAAATACTGTTTTATCATTTATTGAACTTTAAAACCGTGATAGGAAATAGGGTGAGGGGTCCTTACTCGTTTCGGGGTCCGAACACGGTTTCACAGTGCGCTTGTAGGCTGTCCCTAATTTTCCCTGAATTTTTCCCGGGGAACTGAAACGCACTACAGGTACCTGCACGTGTTCCAAAAAATTCCAAATTAGGCCTAGGGCCCCTTTCGGCCAATATCGCAACTCCGGCACGGCGGCTCCGCCGCTTGCGGCGGCGGTTCGCCTCGGGTTGGCCGTTTTCGGCCGTTTCTGGCCGAATTCGGCCATACTCGCATTGGTTCCTGCAATAAAACAACCCTACGGCCCTCGGGGGGCCGAAAATTTACTGAAAACCGAAGCTTACCGGTGGCGGTGCTCTCAGGTGCGGCGGCTCTCCGGTGAAGTTCGTGTTTTGCTGATTCGGCTCCGATCAACCTGTAGAGAAAAGAATGGTGATCACGGTGGTATAAAAATTGCATTAAACGGAGGCCGGGAAGGGCCTCATCGGAGGTAAAAACCAAGGAGGGGCGCGCGGCGCCGCTGGCTTTCGGCCGTATTTTTCGGCCGTTTGGCCAGGATTTTGGCTCCGATTTGGCCACTGGGGAAATCAGCATGGAAAAACGAGTCGGGGGTATGAAATTTACCTCGATCGGCGGTTGGAAATCCCTCCGGTGCGGCGGCCGGCTTCTGGTTCGTCTTCTCCGGCGAGGGTAGGCGGCTAGGGTTTGGGGTCTGGTGTGGGGGTCTTATTTATACCCTTTTTCCTTTTGATCTCAGTTGTCCATTTTGATTTAATCTGGGCCGTCTGTTTTTGATTAAATCTGGGCCGTCCGTGCGCCCGATTGATCTGGGCCGTCCGATTGCACGCACGCGGATCGCCAACGTGGCTCGTCCCCGGTCGACGTGGTTTTGCCACGTGGCAGGTCCTGGTTGGCCAGGACTACTGACTGGGTCTACTGACGTGGCTGCTGACGTGGCACGCGCGTTTTTTTTTCCTTCTTCTTAAATTTCCCCGGGCGCTACAACTCTCCCCCCCTTAAAGAAATTTGGTCCCCAAATTTGCCTCGTTACTCTTGATCGAACAGATGGGGATATTGGGCCCTAAATTCTGATTCCAGTTCCCAGGTGGCCTTCCTGGGCGTGTGGTTCTGCCACACGACTTTTACAAATGATATTTCCCGATTGCGGAGTATTCTGCTCTCTTGGTCCGTGATACCGACCGGTACTTCTTCATAAGACAAGTCCTCTCGGAGTGGAAGCGGTTCATGAGCCAAGACATGAGAAGGGTCCGGGTTGTACTTACGTAGCATAGATACGTGAAACACATTATGAACCTGGGAGAGCTCAGGAGGCAGTGCAAGTCTGTAGGCAGTGGTACCAATCTTGTCTGAGATTTCAAAGGGTCCAATATATCTGGGGTTTAATTTTCCCCTCCTGCTGAACCTACTAATTCCCTTGAAGGGGGTGACTTTAAGAAACACCCGGTCGCCTTTCTCAAAGACCAGGTCTCTCCTCCGGGTATCAGCATAACTCTTATGCCTACTCTGAGCTGTCTGGATGTTCTTCTTGATCTTAACTATCTCGGACGTGGTTTCTTCTACCAAATCCGGGCCAAACAATCTTCTATCGCCCACTTCTTCCCAACAGATCAGTGACCTGCACGGACGCCCGTATAGCGCCTCGTATGGGGCCATGCCGATGCTTGCTTGGTAACTGTTGTTGTAAGCAAACTCTATCAGGGGTAGGTGGTCGTCCCAATGGCCCCCGGAGTCAAGGACACAAGCTCGGAGCATATCCTCCAGCGTATGAATTGTCCTCTCTGATTGTCCATCGGTTTGGGGGTGGAAAGCAGTACTAAGAGACAGCTTTGTTCCCATAGCTTGCTGGAAACTATTCCAAAACCGAGAAGTGAATCTGGGATCCTTGTCGGATACTACTGTTACTGGAACTCCATACAGTCTGACTACCTCCCGGATATACATTCTTGCCAACTTGTCCAAAGGATCAGTCATTCTGATAGCCAGGAAGTGGGAAGACTTAGTGAGTCGGTCAACAATTACCCATATAGCATCATGTCCCGATCGTACCTTGGGTAGTCCCGATACGAAGTCCATGGTGATGTATTCCCACTTCCACTCTGGAATCGGTAAAGGCTGAAGTAACCCGCCCGGGCGTTGATGTTCTGCTTTGACCTGCTGACATACCAAGCACTTAGATACAAAGTCGGCTATATCTCTCTTCATTCCATTCCACCAGAACCGAGGTCGCATAGTTTGGTACATTTTCGTACTTCCTGGATGCATGGCAAACCTTGAACTATGGGACTCTGTCATGATGTCCCTTTTTAACTCACTGTCGTTTAGGACACACACTCTGTTCTTGAAACGAATCAATCCGTCGGCAGAGATCTGAAATTCTGAGCTCACTCCCTGTTCTGCATCCTTCTTGCGGGTTACTAGGGCGGGGTCGACTGACTGGGCTTCCTTTATTCTTTGGATTAACTCAGGTTGGACTGCTAGGTGGCCCAAACATGTGACTCTCTTCAGATCTCGCAGGCGAACCTGCTGTGTAGCCCCAATGGACCTACATTCTGAAACCATCAGATGGGCTAGGGTGCCTGCACTTTTCCTGCTGAGGGCATCGGCCACTACGTTGCCCTTACCTGGATGGTATAGGATTTCACAATCATAGTCCTTGAGGAGTTCCATCCACCTTCTCTGACGCATGTTGAGATTCTTCTGAGTGAAGATATGCTTCAAACTCTTATGATCGGTGTAGATCTGAAAAGGTCTTTCCATACAAATAAATGGCGCCAGGTTTTCAAGGGCGTGTATGATTGCGGCAAGCTCCCAAGTCATGGGGTAGGATAGTTCTTTTTCATGATTCTTTAGCTGTCTAGACCCATATGCTATAACATTTCCATGTTGCATTAGGACACAACCCAGGCCCAGATAGGAGGCATCACTATAAACCGTGTACCATCCTGATCCACTCGGTAGAGCCAGCACTGGTGCAGTAGTCAGTCACTTCTTCAACTCTGAAAAACTCCTTTCGCAGTTCTCATTCCATTCAAACCTTGCATTCTTCTTTGTGAGTCGGGTTAGAGGAGCTGCTAGACTAGAGAACCC